GATAGATAGATAGATAGATAGATAGATAGATAGATAGATAGATAGATGCAAAAACACACATACACATGGTCTACAGAGTGAGTTCCAGGACAGCCAGGGCTACACAGAGAAACCCTGTCTCGAAAAACCAAAAAAAAAAAAAGAAAGAAAGAAAGAAAGAGAGAAAGAAAGAGAGAAAGAAAGAAAGAAAACACACATACACAAAATACAAAAATAAACTTAGAGTTTGATTCCCCAGGACACACATGGTAGAGGGACAGAACCAATTCCCACACAATAGTCTCTGACCTCCACTAAAATGTGGTATGCATGTCCACACATACAATGGAGTCAGAGCCTGCGGATGTAGCTCAGAGGTAGGATTTCCCTAGCATTCCTGAGTCCCTGGGTATGACTCTCCGAGCCAGGCACAGTGAAGCACACCTGTTATCTCAACACCTGGGATGCTGAGGCAGGAAGGTCACAAGTTCATGGCCAGCCTGAGCAACATAGTCTGAACTTGTCTCACAAGCTGCTTCAAGGTTAATGGAGCTCAGTGGAAGAGGGTGCTGCAGGACGCCCTGGGTCCGGTTCCCTAGCATCACAAAAGTAACTACAGTGGAACAGGATATGTGGCTGTCTCTTGGGAATTAGAGACAAGGTCGCCATCAGCAATAGATTGAAAATGAGGACAGCCCAGGCTACATGAGACCCTGTATCAAGAAAGCAAAATGTCATTTAATGTGTTATATTCACAGTGATTTCTCACTTAATGAGAAAATCCTATGTCACCATTCTTCATGAAAAGTTGAAACAAACAAACAACTGAGCAGATCACCCTCTTCTTCCACCCTCAGACAAGTGGCTGGTCACATTACCAAACAGGTGGTATAGGTTCCCTGAGCTTCCTTGCTGACCTCTAAATTGGGGCAGACTTGACCTTCCCTGCAAAGCTGTGTGGCTGACCAGTCCAAGCAGGGAGGCCCGATGTTTCTACTGCTGTACTAAGACACTATGACCAAGGTCACTATAGAAGAGCGAGCTTATAGGGAACCTATCAGATGAGTCCACGACCATCATGGTGGGTGGGGATCATGGCAGTAGGCAGGCAGCCATGGCACTGCTGGAGCAGTAGTTGGGATCTTCCATCTTGAGACACCACGAGGCAGAGAAGTGTAGAGGACTATCTGGGAGTGGTATGGATTTAATCCTAATGACACACTTCCTCCACCAAGGCCACACCTCCTAATCCTTCCCAAACATGTCCACAAACTAGGGCAACCAAGCATTCAAATACATGAACCTATGTGGGCTGGTCTCATCCAGTCCACCGCAAGGACTCATTAGGATCTAGAGCAGTCCACAGTTGGACCAGCTAAGATTTGGTGCATGCTGCTGCCTGGTATCCTATACATGTACTAGGTCATTTTACCTGTAGGACAGCCCTGTAGTGTGGCAGCTTATGTTCTAGAAGAAACAGGCTAGAGCAGGGAAACAGGCTAGAGCAGGGGAGGCAATTTTCCCACATGGCCAAGAGCTACCATGTAGCATCTTAGGGTGGATTGAAGTGGTATTGGAACCAGCAACCCAGCCCTCTGGGCCTGTGTTAATCATCACCTCAGGAAAGCCCTCATGCTGAAGGAGGCCAGACAACCGTACTCCATCCAGTCCTTCTGAGGGCTGCCTTTTTCTGTAATTTTTCTTCCCTCTGAGACATGGTTTCTCTATGGAGTCTTGGCTGTCCTGGAACTCTCTCTGCAGACTAGGCTGGCCTTAAACTCACAGAGATCTGCCTCTCAAGTGCTGGGAGTAAAGGCATACACCACTACTGCCAGGCCTTTTTCTGTAATCTTATAAAAAGTCCACTTAACTGTCCACTCCTTCCCAGTGGATTAAGTATCATTATGTCTGCTTTGTCATGGGATAGGCTACTGTCCTGGTCACTGCCTTATCTCAGGAGGATAAGCCTTTTCTGTATGCCTACTGCCTAATCCCCCATGAGGTTTAATCTTCCATGTCAGCTTGGCTGCACTGTCCTAGGAGATCCACCTCTGTGTGTTTGTGAGGGTTATTTCCCAAGAGGTTTAGCTGAGTAGAGAAGACTGGCCACTAATGGGTGCACCATCTCTGTGCACTGTGATCCCAGACGGAATTTTAAAAAAGAAAAACCAAGAAGGAAGCCGACCGTTTCTTTTTCTGTGCTTCCTTGACTGGGTTCAATATGACCAGCCAGTTCACACTCCCTCTATGGTTGGTGTTGTGATAGACAGTATCCTCTCAAAGCGCAAGCCAGAACAACGCCCCTCCCCGCAAGTTGGATGTTTTCTCACAGCATCAAAAAAAGGAATTAATTAATGCAACTACACAGAACACACAGTATATTCTCGAGTATAAATAAGCTGTACAGGCAAACAGCTGTCAACTAAAAGCAATTGTTTGATTGGATTGCCCATTTTCGGGAGGACTTGAGGCTGTTGACCCGGAGTGATCTGCAGGAGTGTGGGATCTGAGCATAGAATACTGACTGACTGACTTTCTGGAGTTCATGGTTTCCAGTGCACTTTGTTCTCCTGGCTCATGAATGACTCCCTCCTCCCACAGTCAGCCGACCTCTGGGCCTGCTGTATTATTGGCATCTCAGTCATGTGCAGGATAGATGAAGATAAGCCAGGTATAGTAGGCGCTTTCTGCTTCCTGTATCTCATTAGGGTGATTGGGCTCATCTGGGTACAGAATACCCTGGTGAAGCCATGGAGCCCTTCACTAAGAGAACTTCCAGCTCCCTCCCAGGCTAGGTTTTGATGACTCCAGCTGGTACAGCTTACTTCGCTGGCATGGTGGCCTGGGGTTTGAAGAAAAAGGAGGAAGCTAAGGTCATGCTGGTTTTGTTTTTGGTTTTTGAGACAGTTTCTCTGCCTTCGCTGTCCTGGAATTCATTCTATAGACCACACTGGCCTCCAACTCACAGAAATCTGCCTGACTCTGCCTCCCAAGTGTTGGGACTAAAGGTACATGCCACCACTGCCCAGCTAAGGTCATGCCTTTTCATAAATTCTTGGAAGAAAAGTCCCCGCTTGTCCAGGGAACCACAGGATGGTTTTCTAGAATGTATTGGCTTCTCCAGCCTCACGGGGATCTTGATCAGGAGGCTCAGGTTGGACAACCTTGTAAGTACAGTGGGTTGAGTCCAGCCTGGAAATAATAGCAAGATCTGGACCCAAAAGAGAACCAGGAGATTCACCTTCAGCTCCTATATTTCAGAGAAGGTGACTCTGGACTTTCAAAGGTTCACAAAGTCAAACAAGAAAATAAAGGGTTCCACTCTTACCTAGCTTTCTGGTATAATTGTATTTTCTTTTTGAAACCAGGTCTCATGTAGCAGAGGCTTGCCTCTCTACGTAGCCAAGGATGACTTTGAACTTCTGGGCCTCCTGCCTCCATTTTGAATGCTAACAGGAATCCACCTTAATGCCAAGTGCTAGGAATCAAACCCGTGATGCCTGCTAGGCAAGCATTCCACCAACTGAACTATAGCCTCGACCACTGATTATTTGTGTGGTTAAAGAGAAAAAAAAATCACAGTTCAGGACAGACTGCAGGCTACCTCATAAAGGTATGGCTCATTTTTTTTATATTTTACTTATGCAGCCCTAGTTTACCTGCAGCTCAGAGATCCACCTGCCTCTGCCTCCTCAGTGCTGGGAGTACCACCACACCCAACAGTTTCTTTTGAGACAGAGAGTCTCACTCTGTAGCTCTGACTGACCTGGAGCTTGCTATATAGATGGAGGCTCTGCACCTCAGACTGCCTCCAGTCCTCTAGACTCTGCCTGCTGCATGCTGGGATTACTGCCTCCTGCATGCTGGGATTACAGGCATGCACCTCCCCATCAGGCCCTGTGTTCTCTCAGTTCCTGTCCCTGAACCTTAGCACAAGGAAGTGCTTTCCCTGCCCTGTGGGCTCCTTTACCTACCTAAGGTGCAAGTTGGACCCTTGAGCTGTAGGCCTGAGGCAGGTTCCACTTCTTCTGATGGTAGGTCATGGGCTTTGCCTGGGGAGGGGGTACCAGAGTGTTGCCAGTAAAAGTTGTTGAATCCCATGGCTGATTGACAGGCTGCAGAGAGAGGGAAATCAGGAGGAGACTGTGTTGCAGAGATGCTCTGTAGACATGGTCACCTAAATACCCATATTTATAGGGTTCTCTGATTTGGGGGGGGGGTTTGGTTTTTGTATTTTGACATGAGATTTGTTTTGGGGAAGTTGCTCTGTTTTGCTGTTCCCAATATATCTTTTTTTTTTAATTAGATCTTTGAGAAATTCATATTCACAGAGAGAGAGAGAGACAGAGACAGAGACAGAGACAGAGTTAGTTTTATTTCTGAGACAGTATCCCATGTAATCCAGGCTAGCCTCCAATAGTCAAGGGTAGCCTTGACCTGAACCTCCTGCCTCCACCTCCCCTGTTCTATTTATAATTTTAATTACCAAAAGTATGCCTTGAAGAAGTTACTGCTCAGTAACCTATAAAGAAAAGGGTTTAGCTGCACTCACATTTCTGGAAGCTGTGTCTACTGAGCTTTGGAGCGGGCCCCTGTGCTGCTCCAAGCGAACAGGTACATGCAGAGAGGTCACAAGATGGGCAAGAAAGCCGGGGAAGCCCAACTCCATTCATTGCAACCGCTTTCATCAGGATCTAGTCCCCTGAGGATGTTCCACCTCTGAGATCTAGAGGTCTCCCACGAGGCCCCACCCAACACGACTGCCCTAAGGAAGTTCAGCCTGGAACTGAGTTGGTGCTCATAACACATTCAAACCATCATGGGCTTGATGCTGGTGCTGGCCCAATAAAGCCGCTGCGAGCCCTGGATCTTCACACATCACACACAGCCTTCTCATTTCCCTGCAACCTCTTAAGATTTAGTCTGTTTTTTAACTAAGTATGTATGTGTTGTGAGTATGTGCAGTTTCATGCAGGTGCCCACAAAAGCCAGAGGAGTCAGATTCCCTGGGTGCTGGGAACTAAACTGGGGTTCTCTGTAAGAGCAGTACCCACTCTGAACCATCTCTCATGCCCTCCTCACAACCACCTAAAAACTGTTCGCATCGCTGTAGTCATAGAAACTCCAGGAGTGGTGGCGCACACCTTCGATCCCAGTGCTGGGGAGGCAGAGGCAGATAGATCTCTGAGTTCCAGGCCAGTCTAGTTTATACAGCTAGTGTCCCAGGCCAGCCAGGCTTCAAGCAAAGCTAAACAGTGAGATACTATCTCTCAAAAGAGCGGTTGGGGGTGAGGGGAGATGGGGAGGGAGGGCAAACAAGCATCAAGAGGCTAAGGATGGTAGTCTGTAGCTCAGTGATGGAACACCTGGGACTCTTGGTTCACTGAGGTGTGGTCAGGGGGATCATGATTAGCCTGCTGACCCTTGAGTTCTCCCTGATACTTGGTAACAATGGGGATAATATGTCTCCCCCTAGGAACAGGAAAATGTATGACTCATCATAGTTTTTATTCAGAAAGCTGGCTTTGGACCGTATGTCCTGATTTTTTTGTCAGTGAAACTCACTGGTGTGGGACGGCCAGATGGCTCGGTTGGTAAAACCCGTTCCAGCCGAGCCTGACAACCTGAGTTCTACCTCCAGGACCCAGGTGACAGTAGGAAACCAATTGATACAAGCTGTGCTCTGATTTCCACTCATTCACAGTGGCAAGTATGCATCTACATAGGTACACAACTAAATACAAGTAACAAGGAAGAAAGGCAAGCGTCCCTGTGTCACCCAGCTAAAGAAAAGGAAGGCCTCCCAGCGATCCTGGAGTCCTCCCAAGTGCAGACATGACAGAGGCTGGGAGGGGCTGAGAGGGGCTGGGAGAGGCTGGGAGAGGCTGGGAGGAGCTACTGCATGCAGGTACACCCCACTCGCTGTGACCACATGTGCCTTTTACAGGATCAGGACTCAGCAGATCAAGAAAGAGTGGGGTCTCCTGAGAATAGTGTGCTAAGAAACACAGACAGGTAGGGAGCCAAAAGAGAGAGGCACTATGTGGGCCACAGAGCACTGACTTACCTTCACATTACTGGGATGGAATACAGAACTCATCTTAGGGCTGAGGGAAGGAGGGGAAGACATAGGAACAGGGAGAGAGAGTGTGTGTTAGAGTGGGCTCTAGCCTCTATCCCTGCTTATTAGCACGCTCAGTGCCAGCCTGCTGCTGCAAACTTCCCATTCCAGAGCCCCTAGGGAGGGAACCCTCCCCTAAGCACCGCACAGAACTTCAGAGGACTCCGGGTGGTGATAGGAAATGTTTCTACTCGTGTCTAGAACAGCCTGTGAGAGGTACACGCCTCCCCCACTGTGTGTACATGTTAACAGAGAAGCCCGGAGTCTACCCAGCCAACAGTACCCAGACCTCCAGGGTGGGGCAGCAGTAAAAATCCCTAGGGAGATACTTGCTAGTTAATCTCCCACCAAGGGCAAAGGAAATCACATAAGGATTTAGATCCAGAAGGTAGGGCCAGCACTCCGGTGGATTGGGGAATACAGGGATCATACTTACTGCCCAAATTGGCACTTAGGTCCCTTGGGGCAGAAGCCAGTGAAGTAGTTGGGACACAGTACTTGATGCACATGGTGGTATTTACACAGGGGACCTACTGGACAAAGAGCAAGTGGCTGAGAGTCGGCTTCATCCAGAAGAGATACACATGAACAGCTCTGAGGAAAAGCATAGGCTTCAGTAGGCTCTCCACTGGAGATGGAGTGGGCAAGCTTGCCCATCTCTGATGTCCCTGAAGCCAGGAGACAGAAAGGGCAAAACCCCTGGCTCTGGTAAGTGCTGGCCGTGTGGTTCAATGGTAGAGCACAGAAGGGCCACGTTTCAGGTCCAGGGTTCCATCCCCGTCATTTGCCTTCCCCCAGCATAAAGAAGGTACTGTTTGGAGAACATGCTCAAGCCACTCCCACCCACCCCCACTCCCCTACCCCCCCGGCATCTACTTCTAACCCTGTGCTAAGAAGCTCACCCAGAGACACATGGGAGACACATGATAAGACCCAGGAACCCATCACGACCCAGCCTTCTAAGTTTGGCTGGGAGCCAGGGAAAAGGTAGAACTTAAGTACCATTCAGTACCTGGGAGCTGTGCCTCTCATGGACTAGACTTTCTGCTAGGCTTCTCAGCCAAGGCCCTACATCCACCTGTTGAGGATAGGGTGCGAATCTCACAGCCTTCCCTGGGAAGCCTGTCATGCCCCACGTCAGGATGCATCTCCCAGTGTCTCAGGAGATTTCTCCACTGGCATACAAGCCTCGGGCCTCATGGGGAATGTTACTCCTTGTTCTCTGAACATCGCCTCCTGGAACACCCACATCCCTCAGGGCATCCCATCCCTGTCCCACAAGCTCTCACCTTCCTTGCAGAACCCTTGGTCATACCAAGGGCACTCCTGGAGCTTGGGATCTGGCTGCAAGTGGAGGAAGGGGCATTCCTTGTTGCTGCAATTACCTAAAAAGCCCATTGGTCTTCGTCTATAAGCAGGTTCACACTTCTGCAGCCCCGCCCTGATTTACCTTGACTCTCCTCCCTACCATGCAATCCTCTTCTGCTTGTCACCATCTTTGAGAGACCTCTAACATCGGAAGGAGAAGTTACCCTCTGGTAATCTACCTCAACTAGAAACCCTCTACCATTTCCAGAGCCCTAGGAAGGACAGGGATATTTTGGAGGAAATACCACAGAGTAGAGGTTCCAGTTGGGCCCCAGGGAACCTTTCAGAAGGACTGTGTTAGCTGTGAGCTTGGGTTGTGCTGTGTCTATATGCTAAACCAAATCTTGGTCAGCTGCATTTCTACAAGCAGGCTACTTACAACTGCTGTACAAGTATCTTAAGTTAGATCTGAAGAAGATAGAAGATTGTGATCTATCCTGTCTCCTTTCAGTGGAGAATCTGTGAACGAACACTTCCACCCTTCCTAAAAGCCTACACCTTTGTTCTTTGGTTCCTAATAAAAACTTCATAAGGTCTTCCAGAAAGTTATCTTATACAGGGGGCTTTCTACAAGACGATGCTTCACTGAGGAAGAGTTATGCTATTCCTTCCCACTCCTCAGAGGCAAGTACCACATCTGTTCACTCAGCTTCCTCACAGAAAAGGGCTTACTGGCACATCCTAGGCCAACTTAGTGTAGCACTGATATTGAGCCTTCTCAGGACTCAAAACTACCTGTTTGTCCGTCTGGGCTGCACATTGCTGTTCCCACGCTTGGGCAGCAGGTGGCAGCATCACTCCAGCCTGAACTCTGGAGACCTTTGCAAAGGCCCTGACTCTCCTTTCAAGCCCTGGACATCCTGGCTGGCAGCTACCAAATGCACTTTCTTGTACACTCTGTGTGTGTGTGTGTGTGTGTGTGTGTGTGTGTGTGTGTGTGTGTGT